ACAGGACATTTACCGGGGTAAGGGCGGGAATAACACAGAGGTCAACCTGTCCAAATACACGGTGGACCAAAGACCTGACCCGCCTAGACCAGGTCCTTGGAAGGACAGCCACTGTCTCAGCTGCTGTCAGGCATCTTGAAGCATTGTGGGTAATGTAGGCATTAAAGCAGAGTCAGTTTAACAGATAGACTGTAAGGGACAGGACAGGACAGGACAGGACAGGACAGGACAGGACAGGACAGATCTCAGCAGGTGTGTCTGTCCCTCCAACAGTACGAGAGCCAGACTTCCTTTGGGTCCATGTATCCAACACGGATCGAAGGGTAAGAACATCTGTCTCATGTCTCACATCTCTCATGTCTTCTGTCTGTCTCATGTCTCTCATGTGTCTTTGTCCTCTGTCTTAGGGCTACACGTCTGTTCTGTGACGTCTACAACCCTCAGAGTAAGACGTACTGTAAGCGTCTGCAGGTCCTGTGTCCAGAACATTCTAGAGATCCAAAGGTACGTCCCCCTCCTTCTCTGTCTCACCTGCAGGACAAAACCAGACCTGTTGACCAGTCCTGTTGGACCAGACAGACCTGTTTACCAGACCTGTTGACCAGACCTGTTGACTAGACCTGTTGACCAGACCTGTGGACCAGACCTGTTGGACGAGACTTGTTGACCAGAACTGTTGACCAGACAGACCTGTTGGACCAGACCTGTTGACCAGACAGACCTGTTGGACCAGACCTGTTGACCAGACAGACCTGTTGGACCAGACTTGTTGGCCAGATCTGTTGGACCAGACAGACCTGTTGGACCAGACTTGTTGACCAGACCTGTTGACCAGACCTGTTGGACCACTGTATTATGTCTCAGTCCTGGTCTTCAGGGTCCACTACATTATGGTCCCAGTCCTGGTCCTCAAGGTCCACTGTATTATGGTCCCACTCCTTGTCTTCTGGGTCCACTGTATTATGGTCCCAGTCCTGGTCTTCAGGGTCCACTGTATTATGTCTCAATAGGTCTTTGAGTTCTGTAGAGTTTATTGATGACTCGTTAGTTTAGGTCAGGCTCGTGGACCCTGAGGACAAGGACTAGTGAGTCCTGCTGTAGGGAACAGGAAGTCAGTGGTGTTACATCATCATGGTTTCCTGTTGGGACCAGAAGCAGGTGCAGGTCTGCTTTAATGTGTGACAGGAAGTCCTCCGAGACAAGTAGTCTGTCAACAAACAAACAACGTGTGTTCAGGTCCCGGCAGATGAAGTGTGCGGCTGTCCTCTGGTCCGAGACGTCTTCGAGCCGACCGGAGACTTCTGTCGTGTCTCTAAGAGGAAGTGTAACAAACATTACTGCTGGGAGAAGCTGCGGCGCGCCGAGGTGGACCTGGAGAGAGTCCGAGTGGTACCCCCTTCAAAACAACCAAACTTTATTCACTGCAGCAACGCTGGACAGCACTAGACTGATCCATGTCCCTGTCTGTCCCTGTCTGTCCCTGTCTCTGTCTGTCCCTGTCTGTCCCTGTCCCTGTCTGTCCCTGTCTGTCCCTGTCTCTGTCTGTCCCTGTCTCTGTCTGTCCCTGTCTCTGTCTGTCCCTGTCTGTCCCTGTCTGTCCCTGTCTCTGTCTGTCCCTGTCTGTCCCTGTCCCTGTCTGTCCCTGTCTGTCCCTGTCTCTGTCTGTCCCTGTCTCTGTCTGTCCCTGTCTCTGTCTGTCCCTGTCTGTCCCTGTCTGTCCCTGTCTCTGTCTGTCCCTGTCTCTGTCTGTCCCTGTC